ATTTTTTTGTTTATTTTTAATTAGTACATCACAATAAACTAGCAATAATGTGATTCAATTTCTTTATTTTTAAACACGTTCAAAACATCTTAAAAGACGTGTAATCTTGGTTATAAAAAATGTCTTTCGCATGCAGATAATAATGTGATTAAATTAGTTGTCAGATTTTTTTTTTTTTAACAAATGATATTATCCACACTAAGAGAGATGAAGGTGGGTTTAACCTCATAATGAGCTCGTAATAATGTGATTCAATCAGATGTTTATTAAATATTATTTTCTCTATTTTTAAACACGTTCAAAACATCTTAAGAGGCGTGTAATGCCGATTTTAAAAAAAATGTCTTTCACATCGGATAATAATGTGATTAAATTAGTTGTCAAATGGTTGATTTTTTTTTTTTTTGTTAACAAACGATATTATCACATTAAGAAGGAGGTGGTGGACTTAACCTCACAATGAGCTAACAATAATGTAATTCAATCAATTGCTTATTAAATATTATTTTCTCTATTCTTAATTTAAATTCTATAGATACTGATTTTATTCATTTATTTCAAATATTTGACTTTCCTTTTTTCAATTTAGGCATATAAATACATTTAAAACATGTAAGTCACATGTAGCACGTCCTGATTCAAAAATATCTTTTGCACGCGCGTGAGTGTGTGCATAAAGGCTATTTAAATTACAAATATATTGCAATACTATTTCTGATTCCTAAATTTTTTTTAGTGTAATTATTTTAAAGTCCTGAGAAATGGAGGTGGATTGTCTGCCCTCCCATTTCCAAACTCTTCTTATCTCCTTCTGTTTGGTGTGGTCACGGTTAAACTACGTCAACATTTTATATTCCTATTACTTTTTATTTTATAATTTTTATAAAAAAAATAATATAAAATGTTGACGTGACTTAACCGTGACCATACAAACAGAAGGAGATGAAAAGAGTATAGAATAGGAGGGCAAACAATCCACCTACCTGAGAAATATCCGAATGTATGTATATTTACTGCTAGAGGTCACGTCGACAGAAGTCAAGTCTTTGTCTCAAATAAAATTAAATCAAGCTACTAAAATGAGATTTCAATAAAATATTAGAACGTTTTGATGAAAAGTGTTTGGATCAACTTTTTCTTAATTAAAAATCATCAACTACTTTTATTTAATAAAAAGTGCTAGAGATTTAATGAAAATGACAAAAATAACATGCAATAAGCCCAAAAAAATTATATTTCACGAGCTAAAACAAAGCCCAACATGCAATATCAAATCTTTCCTCCAGCTTAGCCCTTCCCAGCTTCACGTTATTTACAAAAATTATCATCAAGCACCAAAAAAGTCAAATAAAACCAAATTTAATTTAATTTTTCTTGCAACAAGCCGTTGCAACCACTTGCCCCCCTTCCCCTTCCCCCCAAACTCTCAAAATTAAAGCTCATTTGACATAATTAATTTAAGAACCATCCCCATTTCCATTTTCTCTATGGCGTCCACCATCCCCACTTTTATTTTTCATCTGCACAATTCCCACAAACTAAAAGTCTTACTTTTCAAATTCAATTTAATAAACAAGGAACTTACTCTTCCACTCCATACATATATAGCAGAAAGAACAAAGCTCTTCCCAAACAGAAAAATGATCTACATGTTAACAAATAAAATAGGTAATTCATGTAAGTAGTGGATTGTCTTGATGATTAAAGTTATATTGTCAACTTAAGTCATTGCAGGTTTAAACTTTTTATCCCCATAAAATAAATTAGTACATGATTTTGCTTGTACTAAAAAGAATAAATAATTAGTATAGAAATATCCCTTGTACTAAAACAAAAATTACACATCAAATTAAAATTACATAACAATACTCCATCAATTATCTTTTATATCAACAAATCAATTGTCTTGGATTGCAGTTTTACAAGTCGCTTTGTCATATCCCAGCAACAACCTAAAAACAAATCAACACAAATGCATTGGTATCATACTGGAAATGTGATACTTTACGATTCCTTAAGTAATAGAAAAATCAAATAGCTCAAATATTTCCACAAGTAAACAAAATTAGCAATTATAAACAAATGAAAAGTCTCCAAAATCTAAAATCTTCGAACTAGTTATTTTTTAAAATAAACTATTTTGCTGTAGTTTCAGAAATAGTGTTTATTTGTTTCCTTTCAGAAACAGTGTGAGTTATTTTGGTACAGTTTTCAGAAATAATATGCAATTTTGTTGTAGTTCTAGAAATAATGTGGTTTATTTTGGTTCAATTCCAGAAATAATGTTGGTTCTTTTGTTGTAGTTTAAGAAATAATATTTATTTTGTTTCCTTCCAGAAATAGTGTGAGTAATTTTGGTTCAGTTTCAGAAATAGTGTGAGTTATTTTGCAGTAGTTTCAGAAATAGTATGTATTTTGTTCTATTACAAAAATAATTTGGGTTATTTTGCTGTAGTTCCAAAAATAGTGTTTACTTGTTCAATTCCAAAAATAGTGTGGGCTATTTTGGTTCAGTTTTCAAAAAGAATGTGTGATTTTGTTGTTGTTTGAAAAATAGTGTGGATTATTTTGGTTCAATTTCAGAAATATTGTTTGTTATTTTGCTGTAATTTCAGAGATAATGTTTATTTTGTTCATTTCCAAAAATAGTGTGGGTTATTTCAGTTCAATTTCAGAAATAGTTTTGTTTTTTTTTTGCTGTAGTTCCAAAAATAGTGTGTATTTTGTTCATTTCCAGAAATAGTCTAAGTTATTTTGGTTCAGTTTCGAAAATAGTGTGGATTATTTTGTTGCAGTTCCAAAAATAGTGTGGATTATTTTGGTTATGTTTCAGAAATAATATTTATTTTGTTTATTTTCAGAAATAGTGTGAGTAATTTTGGTACAGTTCTAGAAATAATATGAGTTATTTTGCAGTAGGTTCAAAAATAGTATGTATTTTGTTCTATTACAAAAATAATTTGGGTCATCTTGTTGTAGTTACAGAAATAATGTTTATTTGTTCAATTCCAAAAATAGTTTGGGCTATTTTGGTTCAGTTTTCAGAAATAGTGTGTGATTTTGTTGTAGTTTAAAAAATAGTGTAGATTATTTTGGTTCAGTTTCAGAAATATTGTTGGTTATTTTGTTGTAATTTCATAAATAGTGTTTATTTTGTTCATTTCCAAAAATAGTGCGGGTTATCTCAATTCAGTTTCATAAATAGTGTTTTTTTGTTGTAGTTTTAGAAAGAGTGTATACTTTCTTTCATTTCCAGAAATAGTCTGAGTTATTTTGGTTCAATTTCAAAATAGTGTGGATTATTTTGTTGTAATTCCAAAAATAGTGTGGATTATTTTTGTTCAGTTTCAGAAATAATGGGAGTTATTTTACTATTTCTTAAACTAAAACTAACTATTTCTTGAAATAAACACGGATACTATTTATATTTCTTAAACTAAAGACTCATTCTCACCAATTACTCACCTATAACAAAAATTTGCAGTGTTATGAACTAAAACCCTTCAACTTTTCCAACTTTATGAGCAAAAACTAGCATTAGTAGATTCAAAAGTTCAAAACTCCCTTACATATAAATAGTTATATTTCTATAACTGGACATTTTCCTTTTCTTCTTAATATTTCACTTGCATTTCCACTTCTGCACCCAATTTCGTATCTCCGTTCCAGCAATTCAGATGAATTTAGTATAGTGTAGCATATTGCTTACATAAAAAAATAAAATTAAATAAAATTCACCTACATTTTTCTTTTTCTGATTTGCATTTTCACATTCATGCATGTGGCTTCAACCAAACAAAAACACCGAAACAGGGACATAGATAAAAGAAAATACTTACAATTGTCAAATGTATGGGGATTATTTCCAGGAAAATCAATAATTGTAGAGTTTGAATTTGAAAACTGACTATCTCTTAAACTAAACGCATGTATTATTACTATTTCTTAAACTTGTTAAAATACACATGCATTATCACTACTTCTTAAACTGAATATTGACTATTTCTTGAACTGAATATTGACTATTTCTAAAACTGAACACAAGTACTATTACTATTTCTTAAACTAAACACTAACTATTTCTACAACTGAACACGGGACTATCACTATTTCTTACATTGAAAGTTGGTACTATCACTATTTCTAAACTAAATACCGACTTTCTAGAATTGAACACTGACTATTCTTAAACTGACTGGTACTATCATTATTTCTTAAACTGAATACTGACTATTTCTTAAAATAAACACTAATACCATCACTATTATTTAAACTGAACACTGACTATTTCTTAAAATAAACACTAATACCATCACTATTATTTAAACTGAACACTGACTATTTCTTAAACTGAGCCCTCACTATTTTTTTAACCGAATACTAGTACTATCACTATTTCTTAGTGAACACCCTAACCCCACAAGTAGGTAGCAACTCTCTAGTTTGGGGCTCCAATTTGTAGCATTTCCCTTTGTTTTGTGGGGATTTTTAGCCATCATCATGTACAAGAAATCTCAAACCAACTTCCCATTTTCAATTCCTAACAATCCAAATCTAGTAACGAGTAATGCCAAATTCATGACATTCAACTCTTTTCGCTCCATTCTAATGTAAGCAGAAACAAAATTTGCACTCAAAGTCTCGAATTCCACCACAATAAAACCTACATGCAAGAACGTCAAAGTCCAGATATGTCAAACTACTGCTATTGCTATATGAAAATGTTAAAACAACGATACGGTGGCGTCACAATTACATTTAAGCTTACCTCGTTCCCAATTAAAAATTTACTTTAGTGACCTACGTCAACAGTGTTCCCACAATTAACAAAGACAGTGACCCAAATGTACTTTTGTTTATCAGAATGCTCAAAGGATAACTGGAGCCGATTTTAACTGTCACAATGCTTAAAGAAAAAGCGAAAATGATGCATGAAATGCCATTTTACCCCATTTTTCACTTTTCACTCTTCATCCCAGTAGATAAAATCTTAAATTTAATTTTGAAATAAAATAAGTCATGAAATGAACCTTTGACAAATGTATCATCAACTATCAACAACTACTAGAAGCCCAAGAGCAAGCCAAATTTTCAGATATAAACAGCTATTTAGCAATCTGTTTTAAGCCCTTAATAAGCTAATAAACTTGAAACTTCACAATTCTTTGTTTCTATGCGACATGGAAATGTAAACATCATATGCAATGAGTTATGATGATAAATTAGAGGATAGATTATTATGTTGTGGCCGGGAAAGCTGGTGATATGATGAACTCTATCTGAGATCATTATCGACCAGTTCGGTTTTCCCTTTTTGGTCTGGTTGGCAACCAGTTCAATGCCTAGTTGCCCTTTGTCTCCGGCCCCAAATGCGTACAGTATCCCTAACTCGGTGAGTGAGAAGTGTGGGCGTTCCAGTATATGGAATTGGTGAGATCGATCAGTACAACCTGCTCATTCACTTGCTTCAACGATGTCACTAGGTAGTTCTGGTGCCAACACATTTGCATGTCGATTTCCCTGTAAGAGACGCAACACACGAGATAAGAGTAAACTGACCTGAAAGGTTTCGAGATCATACAAATGAGCAATACTAATCTTCATATAAAATTTAATGCAAATACTACAATAACAAAATTGGTTTGGATTTATCAAGGAACAAACATGAAGATATCAAAAGGAGTGATATCGAATGCTTTAGGAAAAAACAGTTGGGACAAGGCTCCCAATATTTTCTTTTTTTTTATTTTATTAACATTCTCAATAATTATGAATAAGATCCTGGAACACCTCTTTTTGGTTCCGAAAAAGCTTTTTGTTCGATGTAAACAGAATGCTATCAAGGCAAACTGATGAAAACAGACAATCCTTACATATGCCATTTGGTTGACAAGCCATAGCAAGAACGTAGCATAGCAGTATCCAGCTGCAATTTTCACCACAGGTACATTCTCAAGTGCTCCCATTAAAGGATGGGGCTCAACATCAGTTGGCTCGGTTAGGTGGTCGAGTTTGCCATCGTTGCCCCAAGAAAATGTATACATCCTGCCCTCTCTTGGCAACACAGCCACGAAGAAATTTCGAATTGCAGCTTGTACCACAAATATGTCTTTCAAAGACTCAACCAACTGTGGAGTAGTAACCTAAAACAGTAAACGAAAATAGTCTCACAATAGTCATGTTAAATAAAAATGAAACTGCAACAGCATGTGAATAATGTTACCAATTGTTGGAATGGTGGTCTGTGATCTCTCCGCACTTGAGCTTGTACAAGACTCTAGTTTTACTTCTAGCATCGAGACCGACCATACGAATTCGCATTTCCTTCACAACAAAAAGCCAACTGATCAATTTGGTGAAATACAACCCCATTTTTTCAAGTTTCAGCTGAATTCAGAATCCATAAGTCAGATACCAGTTCATCTAACATTAAGCCACAAACTTTCAACTTTAATTTTAAATCGAGTTACGAGATTTCTCTTAAGAACCTGAAATTTCATCAGAATCCAAATATACCAAAAAACACATACAAAATCCTTGCCCGACCTAAAATTCTCCTAAAGAAATGAAATTTCATCATAATCCAAACAAGCACGGGAATAATAAACCTAGCACTAAACCTAAAAGCTACCGATCAAATTAAAATTAAAAAAATACATTCAGACCTAAAATTTCATACAAAAATGAGGACCTAAAAGCTACTAATCCAAAAAGAATCAAATGCATATCCAAATTGTAAACCAGATCCAGATACAAAAATACGGAAATTACATGGTCAGCCGGAGAACAAGAGGAAATGGGAGCTTATTGATTTGACGAAGATGAAGATTAGCAGATGGGTTGATGAAATGAGAAAATTACATACATGAGAGATAATCTGTTCACCTTTTGCTCTCTTCGTCTAAAGCGAAAACGGAGAACATAAACGGGGCCAAGCTGACGTTAGGGGCAAAATTGAAACCTTGAAAAATTATTTTGTTTGGACCAGTTTTATTGGGCTGGTTTGATGTTGGATTTTATCATAACTATTAAATAAAGTTATTACATAATTTTTTTATTAAAAATCAAAATATTAAAACTTTTTTCATAAGTTTTTTTTTAAATATTATTGATTGGTTATTCAATAAGTTGAGAGATTTTCAATTTTTTTTTATATATAAAATGAAAAAGAATCAAACTCGAGAGTTGAATATTTTCAACTCCCTTTCCGCGAAATTCATCAGAAACTAATTAGAATCGAACTCTTATCATAGACCTAAGAGAAAGAGGTGCAATGCATCACTAAAACTATAGCCCCATCTCCCACATTAAAAGCATTATGTATTCATACATAAGACAATAGAAGGAAAACAAATGTACAACCCCCTTAGTCAAAGTCTCATACAATCAACCTCGTATATGACACTTGCACTTTGTTATTAGAACCAATCAAGGAGCTTTCATTTGGACCACTCAATTCGATAAATGAATGTTAAAATATCTCACATCGACCTAACTCTATTCTAATTAATATCAAGACTTTTTATGATAAATTTTCACATATGACGAATTATGCAAGTGGTAATTACCAAGTTGGAAACAATATTTATTGGTGTTGTTAATAGTAAGGAGAAATTTTTTATTGTGACGGGAACACAACAAAAGCTAGCTACTTTTTTTTAATATTTCTTTCCTGCTTGAAGCTACGGCATCGTGGTATACCACATGTTTTTATGTAAGTCTCAATTATTTTTTAAGTTATCCCACTATTTGTATAGTGACACGTGGGATATCACCTCGTGTGCCGATCACACTGAAAAATCTCTCCATAAAAGGATAAGAATAAGGAAAACCAATCCAAAAAGCTTTCAAAACACTCATTGCCTATCCTCAGAATCCATGGAAATTGAACCCAAAATGTCTTACTCAATTCATTTGTTTCTTCTTTGGGGTGACAAAATGTGAAACAAGTATAAAGCAATAATTCTAAAACAAGGTCTTTTGTACAATCAATCCCGATAAAAGTAATTGGCAATGACGACCAAAGTCGAAATGTTAAACAATATGAAGAGTAAATAGCAATGCAAGAATAATCACACAAATATCAACTCATAGTTCCCAACTTAGGTTCGATTAGTGTGCATGTCCCCGTTACATTTGAGTTTGAATCATTATCATTATTCTTAAGCACAACAATTAAAATACACATGATATTGTCAAAACAAAAAACGTTTAACACTTGATCATACTGACATCAGAGCTCGAACCATACTTTGGTGCTCACTACTATAATCACAAGTAGAATATGTGAAATGCTACAACTCATAAGTGTTGGGTAACGACAGTAAAAATAATAATATTACTCCACTACGAAAATCTGTGTAAATCTCTACTTCTCCATGCTTCTAGCTTATATACACATATGCAATGGGTCGTTACTTTCAAATTTCACCTATAAATTTACCAAGCCCACCTATATTTTTAGCTCTCTTTCTCTCCACATCAGCGATTCAGCTTCAAAAGACAAAATTTACAGAAATGAACCACAATCTGGGAGTGGCGCTAGCAAAACCAACGAATGAGAGAATGATGATGGAATTGATTGAATTTACCAATCATACCCCTGCAAGCCACCGAAACATCTCGGATATCTCTTCTCCGACGCGCCCTGTTTCCAAGCTCGAATCGCCGGGGATAGACACCTCGCTCCGGCAGCTACTTCCAGTGTAGAATCTTCCAGAGCTCCGAAATGACATATCTCGGGACGAGAGGGTGCTGGACAGTTGATCAATGTAGTCTTTGAGCCAGCTCGACTTTCCCGAGCCGACCTCCGCGGCGAGGATCGACGGCGGAATTGACGGTTCCGGCTCTGCCACTACCAAGACGACCTCATCTTTCTCTCGCTCAGCATTGCTCAGCCGCACTTCCGACGTCTCCTCATCTGCACTGTAATCGAAGGAGCCGACGGAGTAGGAGTGTCGATTGGGGGAATTCGTCGTTGTCGTCTGATTGTTGTTGCGGAGGCTCACGTTTCCGATTTCGAGACGGAAGCGTCCGCTACCGTTCGCTGTGGCTGGTTCGGCATTGGAGGAGACGAGCATCATGAGCTCGGCGTCGGAAGCGGCGATCGAGGAGCGACATAGCGGGCAAGTCTGCTGCGACTGTAGCCACGGGTCGATGCAGGCGGAGTGGAAGGTGTGGCAGCAGAGCGGGAGGAGGTGGACCTCGTCGCTGGGCTCGAATTTCGACAGACACACGGCGCAGTCGGCGGAGATGGTAGAGGAAGATCGGCGGGCGAGGGAGGAGAAGGTGTAGAGAGGGAGGGAAGGAGAGGTATCGGGATTGATTCGGCGAGTGGATATGCGGCGGGAGTCGGAGAATGAGTCGGAGGGTGAGGGAGCAAGGCGACGGATGCACCGGCTGTTGAGGTGGCGGAGGATGAGGCAGATTGAGGCCACGAGCGTGGCTGCGAGGATGACGATGATGATGAGGAGGTTCGGGCTTAGGTTTTTGAAGGAGGAGGAGGATTTTCGGTGAGGTAGTAATGGCGGTGACGGCGCTGGTGATGCTGCTGTTGTTTCCGACATTTTAGAGAGAGAGAGAGAGAGAGAGAGAGAGAGAGAGAGAGAGGGTGAATAAATTCCTTGTTTGCTTTCGGTTTTTATTTTGGAGACTGGGAGGGGGATGGTACGTGCCTATCACGTGATGTGGAGGGAATTTGATTATGGTGGAGGTGGAGGTGCTGGTCTGGAATTGAATTCTGGTACCAGTCCAGAGTAAATGCGCGCGGGTTTTTGAAGAGAGAGGTAGGAAGCAGGAGGAAGGTTCTGAAGTTACAATTATGCCCCTCTGGTTGCCTGGAAGTTATGATTGTGCCCCTCTGTTGGTATGAGAATGTGATTTGACTTGCGTTTGTGAGTGGTTTATTTTGTTTTTTTAAAACGATACCATAGGTTAAACTGATAGTTGTTAAATAAAAAAGAGAGAGTTAGAGATCGAGTATAAAAATTATTGTTTTCGTTATTGTAGTAATGCGCCTTTTGCTTATGTTAGTGTTTGACATGTTGGATTTCATTGGATTATTGTAATTGGGATGGTTCCCAATAATTGCTTGTGTCATTTTCTTCGATTCATTTTTTTCTATTTTTCTAATTAAATTTGATTTTTACTGGAGATTATTATAAATTTAATCATTAATTAACCATAAAGGTTTTAGTCACCCATATGGAAGTTTCGCTGAAGATTAAACTTTCCACGTTTAAAAGGTTTTGTTACATAAGATTATATTTGGAGAGGATATGCAACATAGACATATAACAGTAATAAATGACGTATCATTTATTTTAACCAAGATGTCAAAGCTGACATGAAAAAAAAAAGCTAGCTGACATAGACAAAGAGATTTCAAATTGGAAGCTGCTTTCAAATATGGTTTTTGTTATTTCCAAAGGCATTTCACTTGCTTTACCTTAATTGCTAACATACTTAAGAATTATTTTATTATTTTTAAACCAACAACAACCCAACTTTTATTATTTTTGTTTAAAAAAACATAAATGGAGCAATAATTTTGGTAAATCAGAAGGAAGGAAAATATTGGCAATATGTCAAATTGACTAGTCAGCCATTAAATTGAAATTTGATATTTTAAATTTGACGTCTTCTTTAGAGATGCTCTTAAACCTTCTAATTATCATTAATTATCTTTCATAGATGGCCCACCTTTTGTTTTTTGATACAAGCGATTAGGGATGAGAGATTAAAACACAAACTCGGATGCAAAGGTATGTATAATTAACCACTCGACCTGAAGTCTTTGTGGTTACAACACTAAACCAAGTATTATTCTTTTAAATTTCAAGAATGAAAACTAATGAGAATAATTAGGTGAGGGCGTCTGCTCCACGTTCATTTGTATAACACTTCGCACAAAAGCATAAAACCCTATAGGTTAGTTCATTAAATCTCATTTTGGTCGTCTGGTATTAGAGCTGCACTCGTCAAGCTAACTACGTGTCTTTTTCTTGAACTTCATCAATTGCATTTCTTTTGTTTTCAAATAAAGTTTGCCTAAAAAGAAAAACCGACTAAAGCCAATTACCTCAAGTAACATTGTTACATGGTAGTAGATGGTACTTAGAATTAGTGGTGGTAAATTAACTTATTGGGTTATTAATGCGTACCCATTAAGACTTGTTTAATTTGATATCACCATAATATAAGAGTGACATTAATAGTGATGATGATGGTGTAAGGTGAAATCAAATTAAATGTCTTAATGTGTACCTATTAACAACCAAATGAGTTAATTTGACACCTCTACTTAGAATCACAACCATTTGATCTGAGAGGAGCTACTACAAAAAAATGTTGGATTAAGACCATCTCTAACCTATGAGATAAAGCTTAAAATATAAGCTTTAAAACCCTTTCAAACCTCTCAAACCATCTCCAACCATGAGCTAAAATAAGCCCTGAGGAGAAAATATATCTCTAGGTTAGATTCCTCTCAGGATTTAAGTCAGGCTTAAATTATTCTGAACCCACCAAATTGTCATATTTCAAACTTTTTTTTGTTTTTTACTTATAATCTAACGGCTATAATCAAATGAGATCAAATATAATAGTAAAAAAAAAAAGATTTGACAGCCCAAAATCAAATCAACGTCTAAAATAATTTAAGAAAATTATTTAAATCAAATTTAACTAAACTTTTATAAATACCTATGTATTTGTATGATTTTCAATCGAAATTTAAATAATTTTAGACTAAAATGTTCATAAAAATAAATTAAGATAATCTTGATAAATTTTATTTTTTAAAAAAAGTTACCGAAAACAAAAAGTTAGGCTAAAATCATTATTTAATCATCACGGGCTAAAATTTTAAGTCACAAGGGTTGGAGGAGAAAAACAGTTTC